CCTGGGCACTTGAACAACCCAGTACCACAGTAAGCTAAAATGTTGGTTTGGAGAGGTTTTTTTAAAACATTATCTTTAGGCTGGGCTCAGTGGCTCAGCCTGTAATTCCAGCACTTTGGGAGGCCGAGGTGAGTAGACTGCCTGAACCCACGGGTTTGAGACCAGCCCGGACAACTTGGTGAGACCTCATCTCTATACTAAATAAAAAATTAGCCGGGCATGGTAATGCTAGCCTGTAGTTCCGGCTACTTGGAAGGCTGAGGCAAAAGGATCACCAGAGCCTAGCAGGTAGATGCTGGGGTGGCCGTGAGTGTGTCATTGCACTACAGTCTGTAGTGAAACTCCAACTCAAAAAAAAAATAAAAATAAAAATAAAAAAACATGATCTTTAAACCATTTTTAAATAATGTATTTACATGGTTCAAAACTAAAACTCTTTAGAAAGTACACGTAGTGAGATCACAGCCCACTATGACCTGTCCACCGGCCCAACAGAAGGCTGATCCATCTCCTAGTGCTTCCTCTTCCTTTTCCACTAATGATGTAACTCAGAGCTCCTGAGAACAGGGAAAGTGAATCCAGACCAGATTTCTGGGGATTCTCCGACATGTCTCTGCCCTTCCACCCAGGGCCAGATGGGGAGTGCCCTGCCCACCTAGACACAGTGAAGGTTGGAGCAGGGGTCCACCCCCACCTTTCTGTGCAGGGAGGATTTTCCCTAAGTTCATGTGCTAGGAGTCACCCTGGTATGGAATCCAGGCTTTGAGTGGGGGTGTCAGGCCCAAGGCTGCCCCCATTGCAGGTATGTCAAACCCAAGGCTAGCAACACCCTATGGGAAACATGAGTCCCAGGGCTCAGGGTACTTCCAAGGAATTCCTTTACTGAGGAGGGAGGACCTCCCCAAAATTGGAATTATCTTTTGGAGGGCAGGCCCCTTGATCAGTCCTGTTCCATCATGACTTGCAGAAGAAACGTCCCAAGTTATGGTAAACAGGTGACTGGTTCTTCCACCATGACAATGCATCTGCCCACACTGCACTGAGTGTTTAGTAATTTTTGCCCCAAAATGGCATGACCTCCATGCTTCACCCTTCCTCCCTATTCAGCCAATCTTGCCCTGAGCAACTTTTTTTTCCCCAAATGAAAAAAGCCCTCAAAGGGAAACATTTTGTCAATGTGGAAGAGGTGAAACAAAGCAGAAGCACTAAAAGGCATCAAAACTGACAAGTTCAAAAACTGTTTTGAGCGGTGGAAAAGGTGTCTTGATAGGTGGATTGCATCAAATGGAGAGTACTTTGAAGGTGACTGAAGTTTGAACATGTAAGAATGAATCACAATATTTTTATAAGTAAATTTTGTGTTTTTTGGGTCTCCTCTCATATCTGCCAGCCCTGCTAAGCATTTAAAAATAAAAAAATTTTAAAAGTCGCTTTTAAAATATTTTTTCTGCTGTCTGGAAATCACTGACCATGTAATCAGCTGGAAACAGAAATTTCTGACAGTTAATATAAACAAAAATCAAAATAAAAAATGGAAAGACAAGGAGAAGAAGGATGAGAAAGAAACAAAAGTTAAAAATGGAAGAAGAGGCCGGGCTCAGTGGCTCAGCCTGTAATCCCAGCACTTAGGGAGGCCGAGGTGAGTGGAGTGCCTGAGCCCGCGGGTTCGAGACCTGCCTGGGCAACTTGGCAAGATCTTGTCTCTACAATAAAATAAAAATTAGCTGGACGTAGAAGCGCATGCCTGTAGTTCTGGCTACTTGAAAGGCTGAGGTGGAAGAATCGTCAGAGCCCAGCAGGTCGAGGCTGCAGTGGCTGGGAGCGTGCCACTGCACTCCAGTCTGGGCTACAGAGTGATTCTCCAACTCAAAAAAAAAAAAAAAAAATGGAAGAAGAGACTAGGCATGTTGACTCACACCTGTAATCCCAGAACTTTTGGAGGCCAAGGCAGGAGGATCACTTGAGCCCAGGAGTTCGACCAACCTTGGCAACAGAGTGAGACCTTATCTCTACAAAAAAATCAAAAAATTACCTGGGCACAGTGGTGCTTGCCTGTAGTCCCAGCTACTAGGGAGGCTGAAGGGGGAGGACTGCCTGAGCCCAGGAGGTTGAGGCTGCAGTGAGCCGTGATCGTGCCACTGCACTCTAGCCTGGGTGACAGAGCAAGACTCTGTCAAAAGAAGAGATATTAAGACAGGGTGAAAATTAAAAAAGGGGGGCGGAAGGAGGGACACGGGTAGGCAGGGCAGGGGTAGATGCCCAGCACAGCAGACAGCCAGCAGGGCTGAACAGCCCTCACTGTGGTGACAAGGAACCAGCCAGGCACAGGCGCCCTTTCTAAATGAATAAGCTAAGACAATTCTTTGGAACCAGCATCCATTTGTCTGAGGCATTTTCTTTCTTGGAATGATAGTAAAACTTTGTCTTTGTTTTTATTTTCATCATTTGGGATCTGTTAAGGACAGCATACACTGTAGTGGGAAATGAACAACTATATAAATTTTTTTGAAAACAAATGAACCATCATGAGAGCCCTTCAGAGGCATCTGTTATCCACCTCCTCAGAGTAGTCTGGCTGAAATGAGGAGTGAACAGCTCTGTGGACAGCAGGACTGCACTCTGACTCGCCTTAGTGGGCTGGTCTTGTCATAGGACATGAAGATTGCTTCATCCTAACTTCAGGAATAACTTACAAGGATAAGGGGCCCTGAGGCTGCAGGCGGTTGCTCCACATCCTCAGGACAACTTCTGTTTAGTCAGAAGACTCTTTCCTTCTGGATTTGATCTCTGGACCCAATAAACAACATGGTGTAGTGTCCATGAGTGCCAACTCACTCCCCTACTGAGTGCATCCTGCCTTTTCATCTTTAAATTAGTTCCTAATTCCTATTCTATGAAACCTATAGTGAAACAAGTATTCTTGGCAATCTCAATACCAGATTTGTTGCTGCAAGAGTTGAGGAACAAGGGATTTTCTAACATGTTTGGACTCTATGTAGGCAACTCTTATTTATTTATTTATTCATTCAATCATTTATTTTTTGAGTTGGAGTCTCACTTTGTTCCCCAGGGTGGAGTGCAGTAGCACGCTCATAGTCATCGCAGCCTCAACCTGCTGGGCTCAGGCAATCCTTCAGCTTCAGCCTTCCAAGTAGCTGGAACTATAGGCTCTCGCCACTACACCCGGCTAATTCTTTTGATTTATTGTAGAGATAAGGTCTCACCAAGTTACCCAGGCTGGTCTCAAACCAGTCAGCTCAGGCAATTCTCTCACCTTGACCTCCCAAAGTGTTGGGATTATAGGCATGAGGCACCACACCTGGCCCTAGGCAACTCTTCAATGGCTTTTTTTTTTTAATGTTTTATCTGGTAAACTGGACTAGAGATTATCGCTTTCTTTCTTTTTTTTTTAGATTAGAAAATACAGTTTATTTAAAAGGTAAATTAGAGAGAGAGAGAGAGAGAGACAGACAGACAGACAGAAGATTCACCTCCTCAAGGTAAGGGAGGCGACCAAAGTCAGGAAATATGGCAGCAGCCATAGCTCAAAGAACACATGGCCACACCAGAGTCTAGTGGCAATGGCCTATCTCTGCTTTCTTTATCACCCACAGCAAGATAGTCCAGATTTGATGGAAAGTATTCTCATCAGCAGGTGACTAAAAAAGGTGGCATAAAAGATGAAGACATGCTAGAGGCCTTGCAGATTCTTTAACTTTCAGTTTGCTAAAAAAAAAAAAAAAAAAAAAAAAATCCGACAGGGCACGGTGGCTCAGCCTGTAATCCCAGCATTTTGGGAGGCCTAGGTGAGAGGATTGCCTGAACCTGGGAAACTTGGTGAGACTTCATCTCTACAATAAATCACAAATTATTATTGTGAGCTGCACTGTTTGATTATTGAAAGCTGCACTGTTTGCACCTTTTACGTGAGGTTTCTCCAATCACCAGTATTTTTTAAAACCAATACTGTCACAATGTGTCTCAGCGTACACATGTGCTATCTTCCTGAGAAATGGTTTGTCAGGGTTGTTTGGTTTTTTTTTTTTTTTGAGTTGGAGACTCACTCTTGTCACCTAGTCTGGAGTGCAATGGCACGCTCACGACCACCGCACCCTCGACCTTCTGGGCGTAGGCGATCCTTTTGCCTCAGCCTTCCAGGTAGCTGGAATTACAGACACATGCCACCACGTCCGGCTAGTTTTTTTGTGATTTATTGTAGAGACGAGGTCTCACCAAGTTGCCCAGGCTGGTTTCGAACTCCCAGGCTCAGGCAATCCTCTCGCTTCGGCCTCCCAAAGTCCTGGGATTACAGGCTGAGCCACTGCGCCCTACTGGACTGTTTGTTTGTTTGTTTGTTTGTTTAGCAAAATATAAAATAACAAAAAACTAGATTCGTGTCAGAAAGTAAAACAGGAACAATACAATCTGATGTGTCAACCTGAATCTTATCAATTTTAAGCTTAATTTGCCGTTGCCTTAGAGATTGGAGAAACAATAAATGCCTGTCCAAACTGATCTTTTGGTTCCGGCAGAGTTTCGAGGGTAGGGATGGGTTTCGGATTCTAACCAGTACACCTGTTCCCAGGTGGGGTCCAATATCAAGGCCACCAGCTGCAGAGCCCGGGTTGACCCTGGCCCGTCCGCGGCATCACAGGTCCTATTCACATTCACCTTTTAAAGCAATCCCAGGCTCAGAGAGCGCCGCAGTGAGACCCCGCCCTCCAGCTCAAAAAGCGCAGCCTGACCCAGCTTCCCGCCTCGAGACAGCCTGGCCCGGATCTCCTGCTACGCCCCCAAGCCCTGGCTCTCAAGGCTTCGACCCCGGATCCCCAGTCCACCAGACCCCGCCCCCCGAAGCCCAGGTTCAGCCACGCCCTGGATATCTGGCCGCACCACGCTCCTCTCACAACGCGGCTTCACCCAGCCCCAAACCCGGCCCCACCCAGCTCCCCAGCCAAGCAGCCGGATTCCTGACCCAGGTCCCGCACCGGCCAACCTACCGGCCCCCGCCGCTTATGCCTAGGGCCTGGCCACGCACCCTCCCTCCGTCCGCTCCCTGCGGGCCGTCGCGAGCGACCGAAGTCGTGGCGGCGCGTACCGGAAGTACGCTTGTGTACGGCAGCCCGGAGGGAGCTTCGTGAGGCCAACGCGGAACGGGTGGCTTTTGCTACGGCAGTAGCGGAGAGCCTTGATCGTGCGAGGGCTGCGGGTGCTGGGAGCGCTCGAGAGGCCCAGGGACGAGCGAGGGCGTGAAGGCTGTGGGCGCAAACTGGGGATAGGGGCCTGTGTGGCCTTGGAAAGTCGCCCTGCCTCTTGGCTGCTCTGTCATGAGTGCTACTTGGGGTGGGGGAAGTCAATGGGTGACAAGAGACGTGCCCTCGGGTAGCAGGCGGATCCCGAGCTGGGGTGGGAGTCCATAGGTGATGCGGACCTGCCCGTTCCCAGCCGGGGGTGAAAAGTGGCGTGAATAACGGAGGAAGTGTTTATTTACCAAGTCAAGAATACTATTGTCTGGAGAATGTTCAGATCTTATTAATGTCTTGTTTAATAGACTGACTAGTACTAAGAATAGGTCACGTGTCACCTAAGCCGCCTCTTTGGGAAAGTGTTTCACTCGGGGTCTTGGCTTCAGTTGCCATTCTACTCTGATGCTTCTCAAATCTTTGTCTCCAGTTCAGACCTCTCCTCAGTCTGGAGGCCAACATCAGATTTTACTACCCTGTTGCAGTAATCTAAAACTCGGCTCTTTTCTGTACACAGCACTAGGTGATTGTGCAGCAGCCCCTCAGCGTTTCCCCTTGCTCTCATGGTGAAGCCCAAATCCTCAGTACAGTCTCAGTGGCCCCGTTATCCAACCTACTCACTGTACAAACTCCTTGTGATTCTCCCATCCTTCCAGCCATATGTTTTCTGTCACTTGTCTGAAGCTGCCAATCACCTTGCCCTGGGCTTGTTCCCAGGCTGCCTGGAGACTTCCCCTCAGTCCTTTCCCCGGTTTATTCTCACTCATCTTGCAGGTCTCAACTTAAATATCACATTCTTAGAGAAAACAAGGCTTTCCTGAACTCTTCACACCATATTCCCCCTGCTAAATGCTTTCATAACACCTTGAACTCTATCCCTGTAGGGCTTTGACATGAATTCAGAATGTGTATGTGATGTTCTTGTAATGTCCAGCTCTTCTACCAGACTAGACTCCATGAGGGGAGGAACTTAGTTTTATTGCTATTTCCAGCATTTGACACCATATCTGGCACATATATATGCTAAATAAGAATTTTTGATAAATAAAGAATGAATGAAAGACAAGTAAAGGGAGTGTGGCTTTCCCAATACCGCATGATTTGGAAAGTCGAAATTGAAGGAGCACATAGTTTTACTATTTCCATTTCAAATGAATAATAAGGCTCTTGGGCTGGCATCATCTTACAGAAAGTATTATCAGTAGTTAACAAAAGATTGAAGTTTTATTCCTTTCCAACTACCACCTAGAGGGCTCAACTGAATTCACCCTAGCAAAAGAAAAATCCGTAAATTCCCAGAATATCTCCTGTGTTTAGCTGGAACTCAATATATGGAGGGAAAAGAGAATCTTGTTATAACTGGCTTTAACTTTTTTATTCTAAGACACAAAAGAATATAGCATAAGGCACTTTGGGAGGCCGAGGTGAGTGGATTGCCTGAGCCCGCAGGTTCGAGACCCACCTAGGCAACTTGGCGAGACCTCATCTCTACAATAAATCAAAAAATTAGCCGGGCATGGTAGCGCACACCTGTAGTTCCAGCTACTTGGAAGGCTGAGGCAGAAGGATCGCCGGAGCCCAGCAGGTTGAGGCTGCAGTGGCTGGGAGTGGCCACTGCACTCCAGTCTGGGTGACAGAGTGAGACTCCAACTCATAAAAAAAAAAAAAAAAAGAATAGCAATAAAATAAGTGCCTGGTTATGCACCACCAAGCTTAAGAAATATACCATTACCTTTTCTTTAGAAGTTCCTGTGCTCCTCTCTGCCCTAGATATAACCCCATCTTGTATTTTATAGTTATTTTGTTTTATATACATATATTTGCCTATACAATATATGGTTTGACTTGTTTTTGCATTTCATTTAAGTGGAATTATTCCTTATGTAGTCTGTGACGTGCTTTTTTCTAAATTTATTAGTGTGTGAGATTCATCCCCATTTACACACGGAGGTGTAGTCATTTGTCTTTATATGCATATTGTGTCTATAAGTGTACTTCACTTTATCTTTCTGTAGTTGGATATTTGCATTTCTCTTAGTATAAATAAGGTTTCTTATTGGCCCCTTTCAAAGAGAAGACACCCTGCATGATTTTGAGGGTTTCGTCCAAGAGCTCAACTCAAATCTCTTTAACAGACCTGGATCCCACCCAAAGAGAGGATTCATTTGAAACCTCCCTGCTTGGCTTGAGGTGACATGGAGGCAACTCCTTTTTTCCTCCAAAGAGAAGAGAATGGGAATATATATTACTCCACAACTCTCTCCAAATAAATGATTTCACAATTTTCCCCAACATATTTTCTTACTTCCTGCAGGGTTCCCCACTTCCCCCCACTTTTTTCTCCATTCTGACCAAGAAATACAGAGTGCCTTGACCACCCTGGCCAGCTGCATGTTTTCCCTTGCAGGACTGAACCCAAACTGGGCCCTGAACATTCCCAGGCACAGATAAAAGTGCTTACATTGTTGCCTAAAATGCTGAAAGAAACCAGCTCCAACCCTGAGCCAAATTCCTGAAGCCTTTTATATGAGGACTAAACTCCATACCCCTCATGATGGGCACACCTAGGAAGAACATCTCTTTCTCTTCCTGTCTATCAGGAGGATATGCTGCAGCACTCTGAGTACAAGTTTACCAGCTAAATGCTTTGGTCCAAACACCCTGGTTTTTTATGCCTCCTTCTTTGGAATCTCAGCCAGCCTCATTTTGGGACAGTTTGGGGGCAATCCCTTGTGGGAACTCCCTTGTCATCGCTTTTGGGGCAACTCCAGTCTAAGGTTCAGCCAAGATGGAACACCTCATATATCCTCAAGTAGGGTGATGGACAAAGATTCTTTCAGCTACTATTTCATCTGCAAAATCTGGAAGGCTGCTCTGGCTTATTTGAACAAGCTGGCACTTAGAACATTTTATCTTCAATTTGGGGACTCCGCAGAAACTTGAGAGAGAGGAATACCTCACTTCAACGTTGTCTTACATCTGGTTTAACACATTCTTTTCAAAATGTAAATTCATGTGGAAGAGTTATAAGGCTCTCATAAGTAGCAATTAGTTCAGTCAAATTGCTTACTTAATTCAAGGCAGTTACTCAGAAGCAATGGGCACTCTGGACTGTGCATCCTTTCCCAATCAGGACCTGCAGTGACACTTTTGTCTCCCACCAAACATCTGTCTTACTCTTATTTGAAAACTTTAGACTGCACTGTTTAATGCTTATGTTTAGTCATTTTTTTTTAACAATGCGTTACAGTTGCATACTCATTCTTTGTTTATCTTTTAATAAAGATCCAAACAAAGCTAATTTTTAAAATAATCTTTTTAAAGAAGTAATATTTTTTAAGAGATAGGGTCTCACTCTCACCCAGGCTGGAGGGCAGTGGTGCAATCATAGCTCACTGTAGCCTCAAACTCCTGACCTCATGCGATCCTCCCACCTCAGCCTCCCGAGTAGCTGGGATTACTGGTATGACCCACCATGCCTGGTACATGGTCATTCTTTTTTTTTTTTTTTTTTTTAGTTGGAGTCTCACTCTGTCACCCCGACTGGAGTGCAGTGGCTGCTCCCGGCCACCGCAGCCTCGACCTGCTGGGCTCCAGCGATGCTTCCACCTCAGCCTTCCAAGTAGCCAGAATTATAGGCATGCGCTACCATGCCTGGCTGATTTTTTGATTTATTGTAGAGATGAGGTCTTGCCTGCCCAGGCGGGTCTCGAACCCACGGGCTCAGGCAATCCACTCACCTCAGCCTCCCAAAGGCGCGGGATTACAGGCTGAGCCACCAAGCCTGGCTCATGGTCATTCTTTTAATGAAGAATTCTATTTCTAAAGATGAAGTGTAATTCAAATAGTTTTATCAGTTCAGAGAAGAGTTACCATATTTATTTTCACTTTTTAGATGATCGGGTACTTTTTGAAGTAATGAAAGGAGAAAGGAGGAGCTTTGGCCAAAGCAAATCCACCTGGCTCTTTTGGTGGTTCTATATTGGTACAGCAGAAAACGTTGATTGAACACAGTTTCTACACAAAAATAAAATAACATCTCATTTTAAACTGTAATGAGAGAATAATGAATTCCTTATGCTTTAACTTCCCAATAAGCTGAGCTTACCCTGTAATCTTCAACTTACATGATGAATAACTTTTAGAACATTCTTTATTACTAATTTTATTATTATTATTTTTTTAGTTGAAGTCACACTCAGTCACCCAGACTGGAGTGCAGTGGCACGCTCCCGGCCTCAACCTGCTGGGCTCTGGTGATCCTTCCGCTCAGCCTTTCAAGTAGCTGGAACTATAGGCGCGCGCTACCACACCCAGCTAATTTTTTTATTTTATGGTAGAGATGAGGTCTTGCCAAGTTGCCCAGGCGGGTCTCAAACCCGCGGGCTTAGGCAATTCACTCACCTCGGCCTCTCAAAGCGCGGGATTACAGGCTGAGCCACCGAGCCTGGCCGACTAATTTTATTTTACAAAGAAAAAAGGCAGCAAGATGGCTTCACTGATGAATTCTACCAAACATTTAAAGAATATCAATGTTTCACAAATTCTTCAAAATAAACTAGACGTGAAGGGAACACTTCTTAACTCATTCTGTGAGGCCACTATTAACCCTAATACCAAAATCAGACAAAGATATCATAAGAAAACAATATCCCTTTTTTAAAAAATACATATTTTTTATTTCAAAATTGTGGGGTACAGTTAAGGGTTAGGTATACAAATATGCATCATTCAGGCACCCTTGTTGATAAGGGGTGTCCCCCCGTCCCCAGACAGACATTGACTACCATTAATCCCACCACCCTTGCCCTCCCTGTCCCCCCCATAGATT